GCGCAAACAGCGTAAAAAAAGGCGTATACAGCAGTGTGGGATCTTAACAAAGGGAGCTAGAGAGGATATACTTGCTCAACGTGAGGCTGATCAGCAGATTGCTCGTGAAGAGCGTCAAGGAGGAGAGCAATTAGGCCGCAGCCGCCAGGCACTCGCGCGCTGCAAGAGATGCAGAGAGACTGGACACAACTCGCGTACGTGCAAAAAAGATACTTTAGATACTGCTTAATTTACTCTATAAATATCTAAACATTACATTATCACGTTGTTGAGATATATGATTGTAAAGGTGCGCAAAGTTGGTTGGGTGGCTCACTCGCTTCGATGGCTCACTCGCTTAGTATTTACGTTAACGGTAATCGAAAGAATATGATTCCCACTGAGAGAGTGATGGGGAACTTGAAAAGCTGAAAGGAAAAAAATAGAAAGAGCGTTGGCAAAGGTAGCTATAGCATATGAAGTCAGCTAGGCTTTATGTCATTAAAGAGAAGTCGACCAGGAAGAAAGTGATACTCGGCCAGATGGGGCAACCCAATACCCATCCCAGATCCCTCTATCGTGCATGCTCAGGCGGCCAGACTGGGGCCAGGCGGCAGACCTCGGCTGTTGTAACCACGTGGGTGAAGTCACATGATATCTTGTTGTAGAAGGTACAGCCCAGTGGGCAAGTGCACTTACCTCAGAGCTGAGAGCTCCGTACACAATCATCACAACACGACAACAGATAGCAATACAATTGTTGATCCCAGCCTCCACCCGACACTGCACCAGGCAGTTACAGCTGTGCTGCCTGACAGGGCTGATAGAGTGCCTGATGTTGATGGCGATAAACCACCTGCATTTTTCATTTTTTCGCCCAGCCGTTTAAATGTAAGTGCTCTTTTTGCCTTTTCAGTAACCTAAACTATCACCGAGTGTCCCACATCACCGAGTGTCCCAAAATCTCTTGGCAGCCTCAACCTATGCTACAACTCCTTAATTTCATTGCTATTAAACAGGGAGCCTGCGTACGTTGTACTAGCATCTAATTCTAAGGACACCTCTATATCCTTTTTGCACGTTCGCGCATTGTGCCTAGTCCTACTGCAGTTCCCACAGCGCCAAAGAGCTAGTTAGGCTAGTTCTTGACCACTACCACCACAAGCCTTCTTGGATCGCTGAGGCGCTATAGATGCCTCAGCAGCTACCTGCGCTGCAGCAGTCCTATACTCCATAGTACCACCCTGCTGAATCCGCTTGCGCTTACGCGATTTTCGCTTGGTCATCTCTGCTAATTGCTCTTCAAGCTTATGGATCTGAGCACGTTGAAGCGCATTTTCATGCAGCATCAGCTCACCACCTTTTATAAGCTAGGAGAAACCAGCCTGAGCTGTAACAGGCAAGCGAGTAAAGGAATTGCGTACAAGCTTTAATTAAGATCTAAACTTATAGGTATTGCTTAGAGTCTTTAACTGCTATAGCGTCTCTAGGAGGAGGGGTTCTAGCAGGGTACACAGCTGCACTTTAAGGCGATCTAATACAACCTGCGCGTTAATTAGGACTAGCCCTGCTGCCTTAAAAGCCTTTTAACAGTTCTGCTCTGTAAACATGTTAAAAAACGCGTCCTTAAAGGCAGGGAGGAAGCCTTCTTTGTTAATATAGAAGACGCGTCAGCGTGCTAAGTCTCTAACGCGCTAGGAGTACCTGCACTTCAGCAGCAAGAAGCAGACCACATTAAGCGGCTGGAGGATGTGCAATGAATAGGGGGGCATACAGAGGGTTAGGATCTTGTGTTTAAGGCAGTAGTCCTTGAAATGCTGGTTAAGGTGGCTCTCATGGCCGTCTAAAATAAGCAGCTAGTACCCCCCTACCTAGCGCGTCTTTGTATGTGTGTTAAAGTGCTTTAACCACTCTAGACTAAGCGCGTTGTTTGTCTAGCTGTTCTTAGAGACTAAGAGCTTCTAATTACGCAGTATTAAAGCCTCCTTGTACTAGGCAGAGATGTGGACGCGTCCCTTGTAGATAATGAAGGGCGGGGTCGCGTACCCAGCAGCGCAGATGCTCTAGATAACTGTAACCTACTTGCGATCGCCTGGCTGAACAAGCGCAGGTTGGGCGCGTCTCTCTGCACCTGTGACGACCTTTATAGAGCTAATCACGCCTATCTAGAAGCTAGTCTTATCAAAGTTGTGCACGTTGTTATTGTGGACGCTATACTTAGCTTTAGTCTCCTCTACTAGCTTAAACCACGCGCTAATTATCTCTAGATCCTCCTAGAGTATTCTCTGCCTATCCTTTGCTTGATTAAAGGCCATTTTGAGCTCAGGTGAGCGCGTTACAAAGCAATCAGCCCAGCACTTGCCAATAGGCTTGCCACCGCGTACAGCTAGCAGTTTATCAGCCATATCTGCCACCTCACACAGCCAGGGCGCAAATCCTCGCAAGTCGAGGTCAAGTATGTATTGGATGATTGTCTGCTGTTCAGTCGCAGTGAGCTTCTGGCAGTTGGGGGCAGCTTCTGCGCGAAATGTGAGTCCTTGGACGCAACAAGAGAGTGTACAGCGATCAACGTTAAATGCCTCTGCAGCAGCCTAGTGGCTTTGGAATTGTCTAGATTTCAAGGCTTCAATAGCAAGCTGAAGCCTCCCTTCATGTTCAAGTAATAACACGTTTGGTAGTTGAGGCATGTTAGAGAGAGAGAGTAGGTAGAGGGCTTGGCAAGTTTTGGGACACTCGGTGATGTGGGACACTCGGTGATAGTTTAGGTTACAGAGGATTCCATTAAAATTAGATTGTCTGCGACATTGTGCTTACAAGCAGAGATTCATCGGGCTAAAAGGCAGGCCGCTTCAGTTTCCCCTGCATGAACCGCGCATGGTGCCTGCGTGTGCCGTTGTCTTAGTGTGTTTAGCGGACTTGGCGTCAGCGTTATCCCCTTTGGGTTAGCCGGTTGAGTCTCCGGCTCCACTCATCACTTATCTATTACGTCTTGGCATCATCTTGCATTCTCTCCAAAAGTGGGAGGCCTAACAGCTTGCAACCTATATCTCACTTAATTGGCTAGATTATCTTGAACGTTACGCTAACTTTTCTACAGCTCTGCATGTCTCGCCTTGCAACCATCATCTTCTTTGTTTTAGGCAGGTGCTGGGTTATTAATTAGGCTATGGTACCTGAATTTTTTTGCCACTCCAAAAGCGCCTCAGGTATTCTTGGGGCCTGAACTAATGATCCTTGACATGTTGAGAGCCAGTACATGTGACCCTTTCTCTTGCATCGGGCGGTCCAACCCGTCTTGTACGGGACGGTACAACAAGTTGAATCCGCTGCACGCCTTTGAACTAAATCTCCCATCAGACCATAGGGCTACTGCCCTGCACCTCGGTTGCTATAGAGTCATTGCACTTTCTGGCTTACTGACTTATCAGTCTTGTGGTCGCCGTCGCTCCTCGTGTCTAGGTAGCCACAAGAAACTCTTCCTCACTCTTTTGGATGTCTGGTCTTATTTACTCACTATTCGTATAGCCTCATTTACTCGCTGTTCATTCTTTCAACTCTTGGTGAGGGAGGCACAGATTACGATCCATCAAGTCATGATGGCCTCATGGCGTCGTGCTCTTGGGCTCGGGGCTCTTCTAAGCCTCAGCCTAAGTCCGGTCTCTGCCGTCAAGATGCTCTACAACGACAGTCTTCCTGAGGATCTCGCTGCAGCATGTTCAGCAGCCCTCATGGCTGACATTGCTTGCGATCCGCTGGTGCCAGCCCTCCGCCACGACTTCTTCTACCCTCCTGCCACGTTGACCCGCATGTGTACCACGGGCTGCGCTTCTGCGCTGCAGTCGTGGGAGAGCACAGTCCGATCTGCTTGTGGGAAGGACGTCGTCATTCCTGGCGAAGATGACCTTGACACATCGCCCATTATGATCCCGGCCAGCCGCCGGTACATCTATAGCTTCACATGTCTTAAAGAAAACAATGTCTTCTGCGGCCCAGTTGCAGCATTGGCAGCTTTCTCTGCCAATCCTGGAGGTAAGTAAATCGTTCACAGACCCGGGAGCTTCGACATGATTGGATGGCCAATTCTGGACCTGCTAGCACATCTTTACTAACAGCTTGCAAGTCTCCCCCTTCAACTACATTATTGAACTTCCAGATGGCGCGGTTAAGCCCACACAGTGTGATCCGTGTCTCGCCGCGAGACTGCGACTGAGATCTGGGTCGCCTTATTTTGACGACCCCGTCGTGGCCAGCGAGTCGATCTACCAAACCCTGACGTCCAGCTGTGGCATCACGGGTAAGCCTGCTACCACCACTACCATTGACTATCTCACCACTCAGCCTGAGCCCACCGACTCAGTTTGCGACGGCACCATGTACCAGATCCAGGGCGGTGATGATTGCTATGGCATTTCTGAAGCTCAGAGTGTCGGTACAGCCTGGCTACTCTCTGACAACCACCTCGGCGCTTACTGTAATGAGTTCCCAACTTCGGGTAGCCTCTGCATCACCAACACATGCAAGACTGTCACAGTAGCAGTCAATACGACGTGCAACGCCATCGCTACAACAACTGCAGGCATCACAGAGCCGCAGCTGCTAGCTTGGAACCCTGTCATCAACCCGGTCTGTTCCAACCTCGACATGATGAATGGCACCACACTTTGCATCGAACCACCTGGACCCAAGCTGCCACCCGCCCAGACGACAAATGTGCCTCCGGTGACGCCCACCAGCGCTGCATCCATCCCCGCCAATACTGCCATTGGATCTGATAAGCCTTGCGGCCGCTGGTACGAGGTCGAGGCTGGCGACTACTGCAACACCGTGACCCTGAAGTTTGCCATTTCTCTCGAGGACTTCGCATTTCTCAATACAGGCATCAACACTAACTGCACCAACCTTTATGCCAAGGAGAGCTACTGTATACAGGCGGTTGGTGATATTAACGACTATCCTGGCCGTCCGGGATATAATTCTTTTACCATTGACCCCGAAGTTGCCTTTACCGGCGTCCCCTTCACCATGCTGCCCAACGCTACCATAACGCTGGATCCAAGACCGACCAAGCTCCCATTGGCCACCGGCGTTCGCGATGATTGCACCTTTTACTTCACGGGCGACGAGTTTCAGTACTCGCCTGATGTGTTCGGCTACTGGACAAGCAACTGCGAGATTGCAGCGTCCACCTACAATGTCGACTATGACAGTTTCGCCGCTTGGAACTCGCTCTCGACCAACGTCACGGATCCTACATGTGTATTTCATCTCGGCCTGCGATACTGCGGCTCCTGGGGTCTGACACCCACCCAAACCTCCACCGAAGAGCCTGCGCCCACCGGAACTCAAACCGGGCCCCAGCCGCCAGCGAACACGCATGATGGCCAGCCAGAGGACTGTGACGGCTGGCACGTGGTGGTTGAAAGTGACTCATGCCAGTCCGTCGCTGACAAAGCCGCAATCTCCCTTGTGACCTTCCTTGAGTGGAACCCTGCCGTCAGCGACGACTGCAAGGAGAACTTCTGGCTGGATCAGGCGTACTGCACGCATAGGGAGGGTCAGGGCATCAGCACCACAGCCTCGTCCTCTTCGACCATTGCAACGACGACGGCCAAACCTACCGCCCCAGCCCCCACGCACACCGGCCAGCCTGCTGACTGTAACAAGTGGGACGTAGTGGCAGATGGCGATAGCTGTGGTTCCCTGGCCAGCGATAATGGCATTACCATCGACCAATTCTACGCCTGGAACCCTGCTGTTTCCAAGGACTGTATTACCAACTTCTGGCTCAAGCAGGCATACTGTGTCGGCCGATCCAGCGTGGCGGGTGCTACTACCACAACGTCGTCGAAACCAGTCACGTCGTCAAGCCCAACGACAACGAAGCCGACGGCGCCCGGCCCCACGCACACCGGCCAGCCTGCTGACTGCAACAAGTGGGACATCGTTACAGATGGCGATAGCTGTGGTTCCCTGGCCAGCGATAACGGCATAACTATCGACCAATTCTACGCCTGGAACCCTGCTGTGTCCAAGGACTGCATTACCAACTTCTGGCTCAAGCAGGCGTACTGTGTGGGCCGAACCAGCGTCGCGGGTGCTACCACAGCGTCAGCGAAACCCAGCACGTCGTCGAAACCAGTCACGTCGTCAAACCCAACAACAACGAAGCCGACGGCGCCCGCGCCAACGCATGCCGGCCAGCCCGCCAATTGTAACAAGTGGGATGTTGTGGGCGACGGGGACGGCTGCTGGTCCATGGCTAATGACAATGGGATCACGCTCGATCAATTCTATAAATGGAACCCTGCCATTACGAATGATTGCGGGACAAACTTCTGGCTTGGTCAGGCGTATTGTGTTGGCATTTCTAGCTAGGAGTAACGAAAGGGACCTGTTATATAATTTAGGAGCTATCTATAATAAATCCATATCCTACTGGGGCTTGAGCAGATTCCAAGTGCCTAATCCAACTCATTTTTTAGATAACTTGCCCACGTGCATGGAGACGTCAGTGCGTCAGAATTTGCGATCCATCTTCCAATCAGATGAGACGAAAATCTTGATCTCTCTCCTGTTGAAGAACCTCTCATATGCCATGGGAGACTTCAATATTGGTTTCATCTGAGATGAAACTCAGGTAAGCCCTGGCTGTCTCCAATAGACCAAGCAGCTGCGGCCAAATAAGCTTTGCATCTACATTTTGTCCTGACATAGTCAGTGCTTTGGTCTAGAATTTCTGAAAGGGAAACAAAATATTGGTCGGGATGTTGTGGCCACAAGGGGTTCCCCTGGTGTCAGGCGGAACTGTGCAGCTCTTTCGACTGAAGCCATCACCACAGCTTAATGCATAAGGTAATCAGGCTGAAGTTTAACTTTGAATTGAGGGCTGGTCCGTCCCTGTCGCGAACGCAGACTCAATGGACGCCTGATGGGCCTTATTGCAAGGATCTGCGTTGCTGGATCGCCGTACAAAAGGAAAAGTGGGCCGAAGGCCCAAGCACCCTGGTCACCATGCACCTGCTTCGCTTGCTGCCATGCACGGTCTGTGGGGCACACATGACTTGTTTCTCTAAACTACCATGTGTAAATCTATTTAGGATGCCTTAATGCTAACAAGCATACATCTCCAACCTTTCTACTACTGCAATTACATATCTAGTACTGCGATCGCATATCCAGCCAGCTATTTGTAAACAAGAATTAGAACATCTGTTTTTAGAAACCCCACATACCTGTACAAAAGGATTCTGGCTGCCCAATTAACTATATAGCGTTGGACTGAATGTTCCCAAGCAAGTCGCGTGCCATCGTGTCTCTATACTTGTTCCACTCGAAATCAAGCCACTCTTGCGGTCCCAGGCTTTCGAACAGACTCAGGACCTCTTCGCTGGGTCTCCAGTCACCCACCTGCCACTGCACTACTGGTGATGAAGGTGCCGCAGCTGCAGCATCATCGCGCTTCTGCTTCTTACTACCACGCCCAGCAATAAACTTGACACCCCATTTGTGGCCTTTCTTCATCGGTAGATCATATCCCTTTGCTTCTATGTCGTCTGAAGGTGCCCACCACAGGTGCGTGAAGATCTCGGCGTCCTCAAGGTGGGGCATGTTGTCGCGAGCTAGAGACTTTGCAAACGCGGCGAGTAGAGGCTCGATTCGCTCCCTGCATGGTTCAACGCGGAACATGTTTAGATTGAAACCATCATCGTAAGCCTCACCGAGGTTGTCGTTGTACTCATCATGAAGTTCCATGTCCTCGTCCGTGTCTGTGTCACGGGGATAGTGTTCTGTGTCTGAAATCTTATACCCTCCTTGTTCAGAGTCATATGGATCCTCGCCACCAGGACCAACAAAGTACCACCGCCCGTCTGGACGGAGGGCATGGAATTCGAGCCGGAATTGCCGCATCTGTGACCACTGCTGGTCGGATGATGCCTCGGGAGTGGGAAACAAGTCTGGAGTGACCACAGCACGCACGTCAAATAGCGTTAGCTGTGCACCAAGCTTGAAAAGACCCAAAGACACTGGGTCTTTATCCGCGGGATGGATCAAGTTTGGGCGCGCAACAGACTGATCATGCCTGGGGAAATTGAAGAAAGGCCAGAAGTGCAGTGCGGCCCTGGTCAGGCTGGTAGGGATCCTCTTTCCGCAGAGGTGCTTCTCCTGGTCTATGATGGCAGCGCCGAACTCGTGGCGGGCGTCTCTCAGGGGACCCTCAAACGGCCAGGTGTAGTGCTCGCGCAACACCCTATTCGGCATACTGGAGGGCATGGGCCGCTCCCACAACCAAGGAGCATTCCACTCTTGAACAGCTGGCAAGTGGACGAGGCACTGCAGCGGCACCAGGGAAGACAGAGGGCGTATGTCTGCCGCGGTTTCGACATTGGAGCCGGGAATTGACCGGACGGTCAGGCTACTGATAAATGGGAGATCTGGCAGTGTCTCGGGGTCTTGCAGCTGCAGACGGCGCGAATGATACCTGCGATGATCGCAATCTGGCTCGTCTGGGTCAAATTTCTGCCGCTCGATCTCGAGCTTCATGCTGATGCGGGCTGGCGGATCCTCGACTTCGTTATAGGCGGCAGCCAACTGCTCATACAGGGCATGGATGCGCGCTGACACTTTGGTGGTGAAGGCGATTGTTTCCTCAGCGGGCTCATGGCACGACAGTTGTACCTCTGCATCTTGATCTACGAGGAGCAGCGGCAGTGGGAGGAAATATTGGAAAACTCCAAACTTTGAGTTGAACGCTGCTTTTGCCTGTTCGAAGAGCTCGCTCTCAAAGTTGGGGTCGGTCTCACGAAGCTGCATATTTGTTAATAGGATGTGAATGATCAGTGTCAAAATTGGTTCTTTGCTTGGTTAATGAGAGTGGGAGGCGTGGAGGGGCGCAGTGGGTGGACGGGAGCGGAGATGGCCCTTATTTATCCGGGGGGCCTGATTTGCGCGAAGAAATGAGCAGCAAGGCACGAACGTCAAAACAAGAATCAAAATCTGCAATAATTAGATAGCGCACCGTGTATAGCAGCTTTGAGTAAGTAAGCAGTCTTAGACAGTCGGTTATTGGTGTAGTTCACGTTCAGCATTGGCGTTGAGCATACAGTTCAACAATACATGATAAAAGTGGAGGAAAGAAGTGATGATTCAGGTTACAGAGTGGCGATAGTAATGAGGGGCTACACTAGTCCTAATTGGGAAGGTACATAACGTGACTCGTCCCCACCCACCTGCGTTTCTCTTTCTCAACAGATATAAGTAGGTAGGGCTTAACTAAAGTTGCTTACTTAGTGCATTAGTGCTGCGTCTAATATGAAACTAGACGTTTAAATTAGCAGGCAGTATCAAAGTAGTATCAGGCGCTTTCTTTAAGCAAGAATTCATCCTTAGAGGCACAGAGGGTACCTACGTAGTTTGATATCTAGAACAGGTTTCTTCCCATAACCCTGCAAGGCACAATGTTGGTATAGCTCCGCTTTCAAAAATTGTTCAGTGACACTTAATTTGAGAGCTTTCGCGCTGATTAGGAAGTTGAGCATTAAACACAGATAACAAGACGCATGATTGCACCAATGTCGCCTTGATGATTAGGAGATCTGAGCCAGTTTAACAGCTAGCTTGTGCAAGACTGCTCAACATGGTTTGCACTTCTTCCACCTTTCTTCCTTAAGCATATGCTCAGCTTAACGCGAGCAAGGCTGAGGCCTGCAGTGCAGTTTAAGTCCAAATTCAGGCGAACGCTCAGGTCCGAACTAGTACCTCACTTCTGCTGTCATCACCTCTGCTCCTTCAGAAGCAAAACCACTAGAAGCTTCCTGACGCACTCTTGCAAGCTTAGCTTTATTTTCTTCTTCTTCAACTCCAGCTACCACTTGCACTTGAAGAGTTTTCTGACCATCATCCTGTAAAATTATCCTGGGCGTCTTATTGGGGTTTTCCACAAACGAAACGTCTGAGCAGCAGGATGCTGTGGGAGACGAGATTTCTTCCGCGGAGAAATTGACAGAACATTGTGAGAAGCATTCCAACGAATGAAGACTCCCAGTCAGAATGCTGCACTGGCAAGGTCTCAAGCTGCACATCACGTCGCGATCCCATCGTTTGTCCGCCGCTGCGCCACAGATCAGCCTCTTGCCATCTCGATACAGGCGCGGGAACGCGGCTCGAACAAAATAAAGCTGCTCGGGGAGGATGTGCGTCGCGCCGCGATAAGTCCTTGTTCACAAGCAGTCCTGCACAGTTTTTGCATCTTGTGCTCGTGCTCTAGGGCTGCAAGATCTGCTCGTAAAGCATTGATCTTTCGCTGTACTGGACTCATGCTCCCATCCGCATCGCGTTTTCGCTTCCGTGACTGCTGATTTTCGCAATCAGCTGAAACATCGGCTTGTGGGGCTGCATCTTCTTGAGAGACGTCGCGTGTTTGTGCACTTCTCATAGTCAACCATGGATCACTTTTTGTCACGGTTTGCGTGTCTCTTGCCTCATAGGCAACCCGCGCCTCACCTTTGGTGAGAGGCGACTCCCTGTTTTGCACTAGCGCTGTTTACAGCCACCTATGTAGATATACTGTTCGTAGCTTCACACAATACAACCTTAGTTTAATCCTTAATTCCTTGCGCACTGCTTGCACTCACTGCGACAGTTATGAGCCTAGCTGCAACCTAGGATTATTCTCACCTGCTGCTGCAATCGTCACTCTACTTAAGTCGCACGTTGCTATACTGCGTCTACCACAGCGCACCTGTTACCGCGTCCACCCACAACGCACATTGCCTAGATCTCTGCCTAGATCTATTTATACACAACTACAGCCTCTGCAATAGCTGCTAAGTCTGATCCCACAGTGACGCGTGTCACTGTCATACTTAACACACCTAATAACTAGTTTACCTAGTTGTTTATTTGCTAAGACGTTGCTAACTGCTACAGTCTCTGGCAGTACATTAATCCTGACGTAGCTAGGGAGCTTCTCCCTAAGCTGACGGAGGCTACTGAGCCTCAACTCATCAACTACCAGGCTAGAGCTACTAGGCTCTCTGACCTGACTGCAGACGACTGAGAGTCTTACTAATAGGAATGTGATTAATGGGAGCGCTGCTGCTCTAAGTACTACACCTAGAAGAAGGCCTTAGCTAACCTGAACACAGACATTAGCAAGACAATTACTGTACGCTACATCTACCTAATTAAGGATTACAAGACACCCTACAACTAACTAGTTACTCTTAAGAAGTTCCTTTGCCTAACTAACGCAACTTACTACTGTAAGCTTGCTAACAAGTATAACACTCTTAAGACTGCTCTACAAGCTGCAAAGAAGATTAAGCAATAGCTTACTAACTAGGTATACATTACTGCCTAAGGCAAATTAATCACGCTGCTAGAAACTAACAGCAACTAACTGCAAGAGGACTTTCTAATTGCCTGCAAGGCTCTAGATCAGGAATATGCTACGTCCTGCCTATGCGAGATCTTCAAACATAAAGCGCGTGGCACTACTGCAGAGATCTTATCTCTTGAGACATACGTTGCTGAGATGACCACATACCTACGCCACACAAAGCCTTAATCTACAGGCCTAGCAGTCTCTGCTACTAAGCTTAGAATTACAAAGCTAACTAAGACTTAATTAACTAGTTGCAGTTACTATAACAGTGCACAATTAATTCCTACCTGCGTATATAGGAAGCAGCATTAGTACACTAACTACTTTATCCTAAATCTACGCTACCTAGCACGTCTGAAGACCTATTAGCCTGCAGATAAGGCTATATGCAAGGTAGAGGAAGCATAGAAGGACTCTAAGATTAACACGCGCATTAAGACTGCTCTTGCAAGATAGTTAACCTACTAACCTTAGAACACTAGATCACTGCAAGTTAATAATAGTAAGCTACCTGTTAACACTAAAACATTCGTGATATTAACTAGCCTATTGCTTAAGCCTCTGCACAACGGCCACAACAGCCACAACTACCACAACAGTTATAACAGGCACAATTAAGTTAACTATAATAAGGAGGTTGTTATTGCTATTAACACTTACACTAAGCCTACAGGATCTCTTATAATAATAGCTATTAATAAAATTACTTAGACTAAATTACACAATTAATAGATTGTTAATCTAGGATCTAATACGCACGTTGTTAACACAGAGGCATAGAAGGGCTAGAGGAGGACAAGTAACAATCTACAATGTTGTTCTATTAACGCTAGCAATACCTGTATCCTTATTACTGCGTAGGGAACAATAGAACTTATCGTCTGTACACCACATAGACAGCTAAAGCTAGAGCTAACGCACGTCGTGTATGTTGAAGGCTTCCTTACAAGCGTCTTAGGACTCGCACGCTGCTGTACAGAGTTAATCTACTTCAACTCTGGCTGCGACGTCCTCTACATGCAACAGACATTAAACATTATTACACAACTCAAATACAATGGAGGACACTGGCTGATTGATGCTGAGCCATCACGCCGACCACCGCTGTCGCTTCTCAACACACTGCTGAGTACGTTTAGGGCATCATATCGCCCGTTGTACGCGCCAAAGCCTGCCAACGTCGTTGATCAACGCGCTGCTTATCATATTTAGGGCCACCCAGGTTAAAAGGCAGTTAACTAGCTTAAATTAAACGTCACTAGCGTCTAACTAACAGGAGACCACATAGACTGTCTCTGCCAGACCTGCACTAAAGCTTGAATAACTTACATTATCTTAAGACGCCTAGCTAAGAGCTGCGCACAACAACTGTTCTTTTAAATTATAATAGACTTAATCTACATTATCCCTGTGGGAGAGGAGTGTATTAATGGTAGCAAGTACGCCCTACACTCTATAGACAAGTACTTAAAGTGGCATAAGATTGCCACAATTAAGCAAAAGGACAAGCCAACACTTACTTATTGGTTCATGGCCTTAATCTGTTGACTCCAACGTGTGTACAACGCAGACATAGTTGCCATCCAATGCGACAACAAGAAAGGATTTGGCAACAATCTTATCAACACTACAGAAGAGCTGGGCATGCTATACAAGCTGGCCCTAGCTGGCACAAAGGAACTAAATGGGCTTATTGAACGCGCAGGCGGAGTCCTTACGCAGCGAGCTCGCGCTATGCGCATACACGCCAACCTGCCCAAGAACCTATCACAGGAGATGTATCGCACCGCTGCGTACATCCTCAATCGTACGCCAACTGAAGCACTAGGCTGGAAGACGCTGTACAAGGTTGTATAGGGACGAAAGCCACTTATTGCTTATATGAGGCCTATTGGCTGTCGCGCCTATGTCTACAACTGCGACCTGAGAGCTGCTAACAAGCTTAAATCGCGTACTCTTATTGGCCACCTTGTTAGCTACTAAGGCACTAATATCTTCCGCATATGGCTGCCTACAAAAGACACTGTTATCGTCACACGCGATGTTGTATTTGAACCTACGCTAACATGTTTTACAAGCGAGCGGGCCATACAAGCGAGCGGGCCACCCTACCAACTTTGCGCACCTCTACAAGCGTATATCTCAACAACGTGATAACATAATATATAGATGTTTGCAGAGTAAATTAAGCAGTATCTAATGTATCTTTTCTACACGTACGTGAGTTATGCCCAGTCTCTCTGCACCTTGTGCAGCGCGCAAGAGCCTGGCGGCTAAGGCCTGATCGCGCTCCTCCTTGACGCTCTTCACAAGAAATCTGCTGCTCAACCTCACGTTGAGCAAGTA